AGAGACTAATTATAGATCGATATACGATAAAATTCTCGTGTCTCTTCGTGCCTGATCAATGAACGATTTTTCTACTGAACCATCTCCATCGCGTGCATCGGCGAGAGCTCTGTTAGTATTCTAAATGAAAATATTTATCGCGTTTGTGTATTATCCGTAAAACATATATGTATTGTCCATGAGAAATACATATATCTTTAGCAAATTTAACATTTAACAGGGTAATCGCTATTGACACGTGCTGTTATACGATCTTTCATTTTCGGTGCGCGAGTGGGTCTTTCGAGTGGGCCGTTACACGATTGTATTTACATCGACACGTGCGTCCAATCGTCGAGCCAAAGGCGAGAACCCTCTCTATAGGACAATATGGTACTTAACTGCGGCAAACACTCGACGCCTTTTACTGCGTTTGCGGCTATCTGCTGCATGGGATAGCGCGGGATGGGCGAGTGCGATTGTGCGAGAGCGACAACGGCGCGCGTACCAAGCAGACCGTAGGAGTGAGAAAGATCGTTAGTCGAAAGGCCATAGGACGTACATGTCGCGTTTCTATCGGGTGTCACGTTTCGCAGTATCAACAGGAAAAAAAACAGCGCGCTCGTCTGTCGGTGTAGGAGCACTTCCGAATGAGTGAAATTCGACGTCCGATAGTTGACGATGCTTTCGCATCGACCATCGTGATTACGGCGCGGTCGACGGCAATGTGCTACGTGTCGCGCTGCACCCCTCCATCCCCTCCACTCTCTCACTGTAGTTTTTTGTGTGTTTTAACCCCGTCATTCGACTAAACGAGGAACCCGACCGGGAGAATTAAATCGTTCGGCGCTCGCATTTGAAAAAAATAAAAGAAAAAAAAACAATTACCGCGTGGACGTGGCAACGACAATTGTCGAGGTGCATACGCGAAACGATATAATTTCGATAGGACAGACAGGCAGAATAAAAAAAAATTAAATAATTCTTTTAAAAATTAATTATCGACAACTTGCTGAATGCAGAAAGATTAGTTTTTTGACTGAAATAAAATTCTAATAACAATGATTATGCGTATATGCAAAGGATCGAAGACGACTACACAACGGTAGTAATCAATAAAGATAAAAACATTATAGTATACGATCAATTAAAAAGGTTGTTCGATTTAAAAAGAACAATGTATACGTCGGGGTGCTTAAGAAAAATTCACCGTAACTAGATCCATTTATACATATAGGCGACGTGAGAGCGTAGGGCGAAGCTGGAAGCCGCAGCGGCGCGAAAAGCAAAGATTCGCACGAGTTTGGACTGCCTAAGCGCTTCTTAAAACTTCTCGTAGTCGTAGCCGAGTGCGCTTTGCGAGCGGGAGTGCAGTGGCTTTGGTTCAACCGTCTGGACGACCCGGGCTCTTTCACAGGGAGTCTCTCTCTCTCTCTCTCTTCTCTCTCTCTCTCTCTCTCTCTCTCGCTCTCTCTCACGCTCTCCTCTCTCTTTGCGCTACTAGTATAGTACTCCTCTGTCGCTCCTTTGCCCTCGACCCTTCAACATGCGAGACGACGTATACGAGAGCGTGCACTCAAAAGTGTATTCACTCACGTAGACATCGGGATCTTGATGTCTTTACGCGAGCCGGGATGTAAAGATGCATTCACGCCAACGAGGATTCTCTCGGTATACCCGTCCCCGACGATTTACGGACGAAAATAAAAAGAGAGAATAAGGCTCTTAAGGATTTCTTGGACGCTCGTCAAAGATTTCTAGATTTTTGCCGAGAATTGCTTTCTTTTTAAGTTTTACGTGTCTGATAAAACGCTAATGTCCTCTCCTCCCCCATCTCTCTCTCTCTCTCTTTCCAAGTGCTATCTTTTATATATTTATCTTACTCGTATGCAAACATGTACGCAAATTCGTTTTAGTTAAAAAACAACAGTTTTAATCAAGATTTATATTTTTTTCTTCATGTAGTTATTTAATATATTACACGATTGATTTTTCTTATGTCTCTTATTAACGTAATTCAAATATTTGTTATACTTTGTAATCAATTTACGAAATCTAACTTGTAACTATCACAGTTATTAGGATAACGAGTTTTCAAATGTTCCAATATCCGCGCGAGAACAGTAACACTTCCAGTTTCGTGGTAGTGAAGTAAATCTCGGAGTTTGAAGCATGACGATCCTTCACCTTCGACTACACTGCATCCCCGATGATAGGAGGTCATATGTTCTCTTGTCAAAGTTCAAAAGCTTCGATCCAACTTTGAAGTTTCATTGTCATCCATTACCGTTCAATCTGTGAGTTCTCTGGTGTAAAATCGCGACCGCAAAGAATGGCTATAAAAAAAACTTTCGATCGCGAACTTACAGTCGCAAACTTCAAATTATTTGCAATGTAATATTTTAATGTTCTCGCGAATGTTATATAATATATAATAACAATTATGAAAATTTGTCTCTACCTTGCACTATTACAAGAATTTTGGTAACGCGGAGATTAATGATAAAGACATTTTAAAAATATTATTTTTTTCGCACTTAAAAAAAAGATAAGTCTCCATTTCTAATTTCCGTTCGTTTCCTTTTTGTATTATATATCTTTAAAAACTCGCTGCGGGTAATCTATTAAAAGGTGAAGCAAAGCTCCTAATGCGACCGCGCACGTACACAGGTAACTTCACTACAAGACGAATGTATCTTCCGTAAAGCTAAAGAATCTTTCTTTGTCAATGCTTCGAGGTCTGACAATTCTATTCTCCGCAAGCTCGCGTTTTTCCGTTTTATCCAAACTGCAATCAATCGGCAAATCTTTTCTCTCATCCTGCCGTCGACCGTATCGGAGACAACTGACGGTCGAATATCATGACAGAATCAAAACCTTCCTCAACTTTAGCGAAATGAAGCATCGTAAAAGACGGATGACGGAGATACTGCTCGGTAGCAGTACAGAGTTGGCAATACGCGATTCTTTCGTTCTTCGAGCGTTGTAAGAACTATGTACCACACAGAAGAAACGCGCATCAATTTATTTGAGAAATCGACGAAATCATTCACGTGGATTTATCTGTATTTCTATGTCAAATATGTAAATGACGGAGAATATTAAAAAATGCAATGCCGGACGGGATTACCAGAAGAACACTGGCTTATTACGCCCGGCGCCTCCCGCTGACTACGATTAAAGATCTTTTAATTAAAGTCCAGACAATTTTCCATAAAGTTCCGACTTTTTCCTCGCGATTATTCGTCATTTAGAATGAAAAACTAAATTAGATCGCCGCGCGCGACAATACACCTATCAAATCGATCGGTCGCTTGCAGAGTGCGTCTGCACCATAAGAATTAATTTAAATTCTTTTAATTAGACAAGAGCGCTGCTTCAGCGCTCGCAAACGTAGTTACGTTTTAATTACTTTTCTTCGAACAAAAAGAAGCTACGACACGCAATCCGAGGAAAAAGAATAAGGTTGCGATTAGATCTCTGATGATTTAATTGATGAGCGCTGTAATGAGATTACACACAATTCGATAGTTCGCGCTTTCAGTTTAAAAATTAAAAGATGAGAATTAAAATGTCTAATACAATCGTCCGTCTTACTAACGCGAGACGAATGGTTCAAGCACTCATGAAGTTGTAGATAAAAGAGAGCGCGAAGTAATTGCATTTGCATATGAACTCTGCGACCCTCCGCGGCGCTCCCCGGTGCATCGATCTACGTGGATGACCATACATATTGCATTTAAATAGAATTTTTGATAGATCTCTCCTTCGAGAATAAATGTAGCACGCCATAATGAACACAGAAATGACAGACAATTATAAATGAACTAGACACTACAGACGCGCGCTACGCGCGCGCTATTTATCTTTAACATTTCACTATTAACCCTATTATACACAACTGTCAAAATATACAATGACAGCTGCAAATGAAGTAAGCGCAGCAAGAGAACCAATCGGCATCGCGGAAAAGCGGCAACAATAAACTTCACATCTCCTTTTTAGAAGAGGATTATTTTATAAGATATATATTTGGTAACAGCAGAACACAGGGCGCAATGGGCTAATCACTCGTCAGTCTAAAATAAATCCGAATTACGGAAATTCCCTAGAGGGGCACCGGAAGGCGTGTAACGCTATAACTCCGGATTAATTTTTTTAATCTTATAATTTGACAATACGTATCATCTTAATTTTTTGCATAATAAAAATTACATATAATCTATTAAAAATAATAGCACTGATATTTCGGTGCTCCAGCAAGTTGAGGCATTCTATGTAATTAAAAAAAGAAAAAACTGTATCTATTTGACAAAAGTCTATACACTTTGTTATACAAAGCTTTGCTCACGTCAACGCTTTTATAAATGATGATTCTACATATACATGTTCGTAAATGCATAAATGGTGTACGTGCACTACAAGAAACGTAGCGTGCTCAAGCGGGTTAATTGTATGTCACGAAAAAAAAAACGTATTCGCGCGATAAGCGAGGCTCGGGAGTACGTAAACGGTTTCGAAAGTCACGGTAGGCGATTGCGTAAATTTACAGCTCTCCACGTGTACCTACATGATTATTTCAATCGTGACGCAAGTAATTCGAGAATATTACTTATAACGAATTCGATTGGTTGCACTCTCAGTGCACACTGATGCACATTTAAAGCCGTCGTGCACAAATCAATGTAAAGTGTGTATGTTTAATATAAACGGGTTAAATCACACGAAATCCTCAATATTCTCTGTTATGTTATTTGGTAAAATATGTATTGAGCATTTTATCAGTCGAGATATTTGCATTTTACTTTAAAGATTAGAGGTTAAATCAGTGTACAAATAAGGCTTTAATATGCACCAGTGCGCACTGAATACATCCAATCGAATTCGCTATATTAGTTATTATGTAAATTATTCCAATCAAACCCCAAACGTTGTACGTAAGTAATCACGTAAATAATACCGCGTGGATGCGAATATAATATAAAATTCGCGAGTGAAACGGTACGTAAAATAGCGCTTACCCAAGCTGAATCCGGAATCCTTCACGTGGATGACCACCATCGGCATCAGTACCATCACAACGAGGTTTATGACGTGGAACACCATTCCCGTGCCATGAGCTACGATATCCTGCGACAGAAAATAAAGAGATACAAGTCACAACAGAAACTGGCTTGCACACAGTGCGTAGCACACAACATCGCTGAGGTGAGATGACGACAAAGGAACTAAAATGACATGGACAATATTTTGAGAGTAAATTCAGTATAAGCACTTTCTGTGTCAAATACAAACTATTTAATGCAAGAACAAGATATTTAATATATGCAAACATATATATACATATTGAAACAAGCAAATACGAGAAAGAAACATTTCAGTTATACAACAAATGTCCCCCATTTAAAAACTCACTAATAATTATTAATTATATGTGATAGTAACAATTTATTCTTATAACGTGTTGATTTTGCCTAATTTTTTATAAATGACGTACCTGATTAATATATATACGAGGAGCGTTCAATAAGTAGAGCAACACATTTTTTTCTCGTCAAGGTTTGTTTTAATTGTAGTTTTAAATACATCATATTTTTCCTCAATTATTTGGCGATAAAAACTTATTTTTCAACATAATCTCCATTCAATTCTATGATTTTACACTGCCATGTGAGAGCCTTGCTCTTGCGGTATCACTCTCTGCTGGTCTGTTTCTCAGTCACTTTCTTATTTTAGCTATGACTTCCTTGTCATTGTTATATCTCTTCCCGCGGATTACGTCTTTCAGAGGATCAAAGAAATGAAAATTAGAAGGCAAGATCCGGGCTGTAGGGTGAATTGTCGTTCTTTACTCAGAGTGGTACCGCATAGGTGACCATAGGTCATGGAACTGAACGGAGATTGTGTTGAGGGATGGGCTTTTGTAGACAGGGGATTGAGGAAAGATGTGACGTATTTCAAGCTGCAGTGGGGCAAACCTTGAGTGGGAAAAGGATGTGTTGCGTTGCTTATTGGACTCCCCTCGTATATATTCATCTATGCCAATTGATAGTTAACTTTATGTCAGTTACAGCAATGACATGAAATCCAATTGATATTTCGTAAATGCAGAGAATAGTTTTATATCTAAATTCTTTTTATTTCTTTTGATATTGTCAAGGCATACACAGTAGGTATCGTGCAAAGTTCCACAAAAAATTGCAATCTAGATATTTTAGTACTAGAATTTTCGCGTCAATCCCAAAACAAGCTATTAAATTATTGCACATTAATCATGAGACACATTGTATATATAACTGCGAAAGATTATTTATTTAATATAAGTATTTGTGTAAGCCATTCATTCAATACTGCAGAAAATATTGCAAACGTTATGAAACGTGCAAAGATAGCGGAAAATTATTATGGTTATATAAACTCTGCGCTGACATTTATAATTTTGTATTTTATTGAGTAAACAATAATTTTTCTTTATTTGAGTTTTCAACGTGCTCAGTTGAAAACATACGGGATTCTGATATGTGTAAATCATTAACTGATACGCTGATGTATCTACATGCGATATATCGACAGCGGGACGCAATCTGCATTTCTATGGTAAAATTTATAAACTTAAATGTTGCAATAGTGATAACGATTTATTTATAAACTCGCGTATCTTATTACAATACTGATGATTGACTGATGAAATCATACTATGTTTTCAATTATTAATAATACATTAGGGGTTCCCATAATCTTACATATAAAATAAAAGTTTTTATATATATAAATTCTTAGTTCCTTGTAAAAAAAAAAACTTTCATTGCTATGCCATTAGCAGGTAGAAATTCATTTTCATTTAAGATTACTTTTGAATCCAATATTACATACATACGTACATACATACATACATAATATATATGCATACATATATCTACATATACTATAGATGTATATATGTTTCAAAACGTGTACAGCATTTAGAGAAACATCACTTTAGCAAAGAGCAAAGTTATAAAAAGAACTGGGGCTAAATTACTACAAATTTGCAAAACGTGAGATTACTACGAGATTAATTACAGGATAAAGTGCATTACAAAGGAGGATATAAATTACAGTCATCGTCACAGCAGCGCTCACAATATTGAATCACGGTATTTCATTCGTACGATAGCGCAGTTGGCCGCTGTTATAGGATTCAATAAAAAATTACACACCCGTCCCGGACAAAAGGTTAATTATTTAAACGCGCTGTTGGACTCGTTTGACAAAGTATCGCGTGAGCGTGATTTATCGCCGGCAAGTTATTATGGCGCGGAAACAAACGCCGACGCTCGCGGTGAGAAACATTCGCTCGTCCGGAAAATATTTCGCTTCCGCGTCGCGCACTGCAGACCTGGCTGCAAAAACTCCTCGTTTTACACTCTCGCACTTCGCGCCAAGTTTTGTATCTGAAGTAATTACCCTTAAAGACTAAGGGTACATTTCATAAAGAATGCAGTTTTACAGTTTCTTCGTAACTCAGTCGGTGAAGAATGCAGGGAAGATCCTCAGACCGTTAAAAAGAAATTCCTACATCGTATTGTCTGTCGAATCCTGTAGTAAATTAATGACTTGTTAGAGAGAGGGAGGGTTAAAGAAAACGGCAATGTATAACCGCAGTGTACAATAGTCGAATCGGATACAATATGTAAATCACAATTTTTAGAATAATTTAAAATTGAGGTTTAATAATTCTAAAACTTAAAAATTAAAATTTTAACATTTAATAAAAAACAAAAAGTATAATATACACATGTCTAAAATAATGAAACTGGACAAATATGTGTATACGGGTAAACGGTATCACGCGGTTGAAAATTAAAATCCACTCGTGAGAGATCATCCAGCATCCTAACGAAAACATGGAAAACAGAAAGCACGTTTTCCGGTCAAATATTTAGGGAACGCTTGGCCCAATTATGCTGCACAAAAAAATACCATAAATTTGATATACGGAAATAGGCGCGTATTGAATGCTTAAAAATTTATCCGATACAAATTGTACGTTCTTGTATAAATACGATAAAATTAATACAATTGTTACATTTCTTTGATCACCAAAGCGAATTTAATATCGTATAGGCGAAAATTTTAATTAATAACAAAAATTTATTAATGTGTAAATATGATTAGCAAGACTTGAAAAGATGTTGAAAATTTTACTGATATATTCGATCTGTTCAATAATAATGTTAACATTTTAAGAATGTTTTAATAATTTATGTATTATTTTCTACTCAATATATTAGTTATTAAAATATGTTTACAATATGTTAATATTATTGATGTAATGTGATTTCGTTAAATTTATAACGGAACATAATCTTTTTATCATGGTTATTTGAAATATTTATTTACGTTATTTATGTATATTAAAGCTAAGTGCAAAGCGTAAATACTGAATAAAGCCCGGATTCTATGTTCCGAAAATGGATACATTTATCATGAAAGTCGTCATCATAGATTCACTACTAACGTGCAGCATATCATTGTCGCGGGTGACATGACGGTTAAAAAATAACTCGCAAACGAATGTGGCTGATAAGTTTCCCATGCCATCAGATAGTCACGCGTTTAAATTATTAAACGGTACGAATTACACGTGCCGGTCGCATAAAAATAAAATCCGACAATTTCATTTGATTAAGCGTGATCACGTAAATGGTTGCGAAATACACGCAAAAACGGAAGCATAAGTTATCGGCGCGCGATATGTATGTTAGTTCTGAGTATTAATTTGCTATATATTATTCATACGAAGCTGCGCGCCTCGTTCTGACCAAATTATTCATACAACGCTGCAACGTTGCAATCATGCGTTCGTCATTAGTCGAATTATTAGTCGATTAGCGGCCAACGATTAATCAGTGAGTGGTAATTATTGCGTGCGCTAGCGGGGTATCGGCAGCATTTGTATGTCAATGAATTTCAGAAAAGGAGATCGGGGTAAATCGAGTTCGACGCTTGAACAGACATTGCGAATTGTATCGAGGCTGATTATACATCACGTTAAGTAATTGCGTATGCACGAAGGCATCTGTATTATTGTACTCTATATACAAGAGAATACTAATGCGAATACAAATTGATACATCCTTGCCGAAATTAATTATTCCTAACTTGACGGCCTGCCGTTTTTCGTGTTGTAATTTTACCGAGTTTCATTACGCGAAACTATCGAAAATTTATGTCTTCATTCGCGTATTACTTATTCGATTGTCACGGAATTGCCATTAGCTGTGCAACGTAATTAGTAGCGCACTATGTGGTTTAAGCGTTTACAATAACATGGAAAGGAATGCATAATGATTACACGACGGGGGGTCTGTTGTTAATTCGCGTGATGATTAGGATCGACGACTTCACGCTGCGACGATAATCGGACGCGTTTCTAGGGCCGGCGATCACCTTTACGACATGGCGATAAAGGAGCAGTGTACGAGCAATTCGATGTAAAACCCTTGCCGCGGTATTATCGTTGCACAACAGATAAAGCACTATATATGGTACCGACTTTCACCGTCGGCACCGGGAAAAATATCGCCGCGTTTATCTAGCGGCCATCAAATCGCCGTCAAATCGATCGAATTGATTTGTCCGCAAACTTCGGTCAATAAGCTACGACCAATGATCTATGTTGACTTTAAGCAAGACATTACACGATGATCATCCAAAGGGATAGTAAAAAACGTTTGTGCCAAAACGCGATGTTTGATGACGTAATTAATTGTGAAAGGGCATCTTTTCAAAATTCCATCTATTTTTAATGAAAAAAGTTGTGATTATAGAATTTTATGATTCCTCGAACAAGCTGTTCGCTAAATTAAATTATAAATCATGTCAAGCTCTTCGAAAAGTGTAAGGCGAGTATTTAAAAATTGAATGTTAATTGAATATTTGAATATTACATATAACGTAAACTCACGCACAAATAACAGCGTTTGACTTTCATAGCCCACTCTTCCTTTTTCTCCTTGTTAGGTTTAATATCAAGAATCTTTAGCTAATTAATCATTTATTTAAATTATAATATGTAATCTTTATGAGAGAACGTCCAAGCTGAATAAAAAGTACATTTTGAATATTTTACGATAAAACGTATAGACATAATGCGACGAATATATTCTTCATCGTGGCAGATAGTTTGTGAAACAAAATATACTATTTCTTATTGCCGCGAACAGCAATGTTTCAGAATATTTCACAGAGGTGGACTCGACAGTTCATTGACAGTTCACCAAGCGAGAGCTCGAGGAAGGGTAAAATGCAATAAATGTCTCCCCTGATAGTGTTCCAGTACTTTTCCCTGGAAGTTGTAGAAAAGTTATTTGTCGCGAGTTCCCCATATCATTATTATTTAGTTCCCCTATAAAAAGAGAAAAAAATATAGTCAGTCGGAGGTGAAAAGCGTGCAATGTATCTCTCAGTTCCTCGTGTTTATTTCTCTTTGACTTTGTCTTTCCCTTTATTTTTGGTTGCTCTTCGACGCTCACCATAGGTGAGTGCAAGAAGCGCAGATAATTTCTCTTCGAGTCAAGAATTCTCTTTCTCGCTCTTGATTATTTAGGATTTTATTAAACGAAACTTGAACGCGTTTATCTCCGAAGAACGCAAACGAATTCAACAGAGTGCAATTGCTCGCTTATTATACTCGAATCTCCGTTCTGACTTCATAAATCTATGTTAAAGAAAAAATGATTTACATATATAACTAGTCATATATTTAAAAAAGGCATATAAATATAGAAATTTTAGAAATATTTAAAAATGTATCTTTAATTGTACAATCGGATTTATATTAATAATAAATATGATAGGAACAAATAATATTTTCTGTTAGGTATAACGTTTTGTTTTTAATATTGTGTTCCTCTATATAATCATTTGTAAATATCCTTTATAAAATACATGTTCGTAGTTTTGAATAAAACACGATAACAGCACAGATTAAAAAATCTACAAGTGATTACTTATCTCACCGACTACGTAAAGAGAATAAATAAATTAATCACACGCGAAATTTCACAAAGCTGTTACTGATGCAACCTCGCCGATTTTTTTATTTCCAATCGATACAATGCAAAAGCGTCGACGCTATTAGGGGCGATAAATTACAATGTAACGCCTCCCTTGTCGAACGAGCTGCGGTATCGCGCGACTATCGTTCAGTCGATTACCCGGATATTGGATTTGCTCACTTTCCGCTCGCACGACCCTTATACATATGTATACCAAAATATTTGGAAGAAAAATTCACTCACCACTGACAGTCCTTTCTCGATCAGTAGACAAAGGCCCACCGGCACGGTAGAATCTGCAAAACAAATAAAACGAAAGGGGTCATTTATCGATCATACAGCTTTACGTACGTCGCTTTCCCTTCGCGAATTTGTCGTCCCCTTCTGTTTTCTCGCTCTCATTCTCTTCTTCTCACTTTTTTCCTTCCTTTTCTCACTTTTTTAAAACTGGCCGAACATCGAAATGCGCAGTCGACCGGTCGTCCTGGCCGAGGGGGTTGAAGAGAGGAAGTGACAAGGGCTTGTCACTCGGAGATATAGAGTGACGATATAGAGTGAGAGAAGAGCGGAGAGAAAGAGAAAGAGGAGGAGGCGAGAGGAGAGGTAAACGTGGCGAAGGCTGCGCAGCGAGGATAAACGCTGCCGGTGATCGAGAGCGTCGCCTCTCGATGCGTTCGGTAGGGAGGACATAAAAAAAGGGAGGAAGCGCCGATATCGAGCTAGCAGCGACGAAAGCGTCTCGTCAATAAATCATCCAAAATAGCACTCGATATAAAGCGGAAGTACGATTGGACGCCGCGTACGCCGAGCCCAAGCGCGGACACCCGGAGCTCGTGGAAAACAATATCGTCCTCGGTCCCAATTCTGATGCGGAATGAGAACGAAATGCACATTGCGTAATCATTTATTCGTCTAAATTTTCATCGCAGAATCGTCTGCGTTTTGCTGCTATCTTGCGTTAGTATGCAAAAAATGCGCGTTTCGGACATTTCAAAAATGCAAATTATGCTTTGCTACTGTGATTTTAATTAATAAAGCAATGGCAAATTTTTAACATTTTTTTATTTATACAACTTTATTAGTAAGTCATTATAAATTAATAATTAAATAACTTCAGGGATAGCTCGATAAAAGAATCTTCAACAGAAAATTTAATTCGATATTAGTTTAACGATTGATGTAGTATATCGACAAATTTATAAAAAGTTTCTAATATTCAAATATTACAAAAAAAAAACTCTGAAATATGCTTCTCGATGTCTATAACTTTAAGCGAATTAAAATTGTATTAAACTCAAGAAAACGGAATACCTATTGCAAAGTAAAATAATCTTAAATCTATTATATAAAAAAGAATTACGGCAGAAAGGAAAATGGATCATAGTAACTATGGAGACGATATCCGATTATATACACTTCGCACTTGTAAGCGAAGAGCTGGCATTCGATATTAAATCCGATTCGCATCGTACACGAAATTACGGTCGAGCGGGATTATTCGGGTATCGATCCTAACAGAGCGAGATTTGACGAAACACAAAATTTTTCTTTTATTTTACGCCGTTCTTCTTATCGTTTCCTGCAATCATTCCCAGAATCGAGAGCGTTCGGACGCTTTCGAAGATTACGTGGGTTTTCTGCGTGGATGGGCCATACGATAGCGGTCGCTGTACCCGGTAAGATTTCACCGCGAGAGAGTGGTTCGTCGTATTCTTCGAAGTATCGTCCGCTCCGGGATAAAATATGGGCGGAACTTAAATAAGTTTAAGAGATGCAACCGGATGATAGGCAAACTCGTAGAATTGGGAACCGCGAAAGCGTCGCGTCGAGAAGATCCGCGCGAAGAAATCCGGAAATGCATTCGCCTGCGGCATCAAAGATTTTGATAGGACAAGTTATGGCATCTTAATGAAAACATTGGTATTTCCAAGATATCTAATCCCTTCAAGACGTCGAGGAAATACATTAATACATTGTGACTGCAGTTTATTATTTCAAACAATGAAATTTTTATTTAAAAAAGGCTGATATATCTTTGTTTTAATAAATGTCTTTTAGATGTCTTTGTTTAAAAAAAAAAAAAAAAAAAAAAAAAAAAAAAAATAATTATAAAAAAAAAAAAAATAGAAATGTATTTTTTCTATTTTTTGAATGTTATGGAATCTGAATGCCTGGATTAAATATCTATATCACAAGAATAATTTATTCAGTTTTATATGATGAACATATGGGCATTTTATGAAATCTTTATACAAGAAATGTTATTATAAGATATAGGTCAGACATTGTATCCTGCATAATTAAGTCGTGTACAGCTATACGGATGTTACAATAGTAACCGTACGCGAGTACTTTTGCCTCCTCAGCTGTTATTAAGCACGTGAACGTTGTGCTGATTCGAGTTCTAATATGCTAATCCCAAATTAATTTTAATTAATAAGGAAAAAAAGTCGCACACTAACGAATGCAAAATGTAAATCAGGCAATTAAGAACATTAGTCACAATTAAAGGTTCTACAGTAATTTCTGTATCGTGTAAATTTCACTTCCTCTCTGTCATTCTGCTAGAAAGTCAAGTCACTCTCACGATTGATAGAATTCTCAGCTAATGAAACGAACGTTTTGATTATACACAATGTAGGCTATACCCTAAGATTGGATGCAAATTAATTGCAAATGCACTGATAAATCAAATACTTTTGTATTCTCTCAATCTGGAAGCTCATTCGAGACTTTACTGTTTTGTGATACACTTCGATATGACGCTATTACACTTTACAGCTCAATAAATGTTTTCACACGTTTTCCCAACGAATTTCTACATTAATTTGATTTATGGCAACAAATGTTACGCAAGAGGATTATCGAACCTGTTTACTTGTTGTCCACGCATACGTGCGTTGAAATTTACATCAATGTCAATACATTCCGCTGTTATATTATATCGTGATAACAAACGATGAAAAATGATCGCTTGCGAAAAGGATAATACCGAAGTAAAAAAAATAGATATGAAACGTTAATACTATTTTCGATACATATATAGTAGACCTCTATATAACAGAGGATATGTTTTGTGTTTTATAAATTCGTGTTATACACAGATTCACATAGATTATATATATTTATATATATATCTGTACCTTATATATATAGAGGTAAAAAATTCATGTCCAAATGTATTAACTCTACATTGGTCAAAATGGAGTTAATACATTTTCCAATATATCAGAAAATTGAATTGTATAATGGATAAAGGTTTATGTCTATATTACTACTAATTCCTACAATGTTTAAAAAAAATCGTATTGAAACTTTTCATAATGTCTTAATTTTAGTCAGTCAGATACAGCATGTTATTGACAATTGGCAAATCATTAAATGTCAGAGTTAATTTACCGAGTAATTTACTTTATTAAAAACTTAATAAGTCAAGTTGCTACTTTTATTTTTATCTAAAAAGTACTATTTCCCTATATTTAAAACTTTAAACCTTGTCTTCTTTAAATTCATAATAATGAAAATACAATTCTTTTTACCTCTAAGATACAGATATGGATTATGTCTGCATAAATATGTGTTCTCATACACATATTTATAAAAGATGTGTAAGGTTTTATTATTTATTATAAAAAATGTAGAATGAATATTAAAGATGTAACAGTAAAATATTTCTTATTTTACTTTAAAACAAATATTAAAATTTTTCGTCGTATTATATATAATACAAATCCTTGTTATATGAACCCATGTTATATGAGGTTCTACTGTATAATACACAAACGTAAATATATATATCATTTGTTCTCGTGTACGCAAATGTTTTTCAGTTTTCCATTATGCCAATTTTCATTCAACTTTTCGAATCTCATTGCCGAACGTACGTGGCATAAAAAAGGCATAAAAAGAAATTCAAGACCAACCCGTTTCAGGGCGACAGACGAAAGTTAAGCGACGATTGTTCCAACATGCTCACGTCAACTAATTACAAATCCTTTGAATTCGAATACGCTTCGCGAGTCACCGCTGCTTTTTGACCCCGACAGGGGATTCATAGGACCGCTTTTTCGAGCAAATTACGAGCGCACGGCCGTGCAGGAGAAAAAGCGCGGAGGCGTTTATTCGGTGAATTAAGCGCATCGTTCAAAGTGCATAAAAGCGTCCGGGAAATTGGAAGCACAGCCGCTTTGATAAGAGGATTGAAATAAAGCGACGAAAACAATCCCTTTAGCTCAACCGGTGAATAAGACATGCCAATGAAAATACTTTGATCGTGTCTTTATATTTACGTAACGCTCGAAATACGCGAGATAAAAAAAAGAGAGTTAAATAAGTACAAGTTAAAAATTTGAAACGTTGCGGTAAATACACGAGCTGCTTTAACAAGTTTGTTCAGTAATATTTGTAATATCAATAATTTCATTTTGCAATAAATAAAATTTCATATAACGTTATATAATACATCTATAAAACTAAAATACATTTGTAAAATTTAAAATAAAATCGTCGTCAGGCTGTCTTCTCTAACTCAAACGTTCTGCGATTTAAAAAGATTTGCTGTCCGCAAAACTTTTAATAAAATTGCCGTTACATCTTTCCCAAGCGTAAGTTGTAAGCCCTTCCAATCGATCTATGCTCAAAAGTCTAGGAATTTGAAAAGCACAACGAGGCACCGAAATTTTTCTTCGTCTTTCTCATAATATAGGTGATGGAATATCTAACGCGAAAGTGAAAACTGATGGTGAATGCGAGGGATCATGCCGCTGTCAGAATATTGATAAAGCGGAAAATGTATCAGTTTCAGTGTCTGACACTCTAACGTTGACGTTAATTAATGAAAACAAATGATGTCTGTCTTATATTTCAGAATACCTCCTATATACGATTTTCTCTCTTCGCTCATGTATCTTTTTTACTGTTCTTCGACGATATACCGGCGAATAGGAGATTCAAAAAGGGAATTGAAGTCAGAGGGAGAATGACGAGAGGAACGACGGGGAATGTATAAATCCAGCTGATGTCGAGCACGGCTCGCTAATAGATATTAATGGAACCCTTTTCGCCGTGGAAATTCGCCCGGTTTTTCACACCAACCGCGGGGCATGATCGCGAAAGCTCTCAGAGCTTCATCCGAGAGAAATTATACGAGAAAAAAATGGCTTTGACGAGGGGGGTATGAGAGAGCGGGGAGTTAATGGTCCACGGGCAAATCGCGCCTAGCAAACCGAGCCACAGCGATTGCGTCGCGTAATTTCGTCAGGGACGTATGCATTTTTTCTTTGATCTCCTTAAATTC